TACCCATTGAATGACGTCAATTTTTTGTCGACAATCTTATCATGTTGCTGTAATCGGCAAATTTACAAACCCCCCCCCCCTCCTAGTTGGTACTTGTTTGTAATTTCTCAAATGTTTAATAATTGCCAAAATAATAGAGAATGGGTTAGTTGGCGTCATTGAGAGAAGAGTTTGCCATTCTAGAATTCACTGCAAGCGGCTTAAATCTGAGCACACACGATTTTAAGCGAAAACGGAAAATATTTTGGCGAATCAAATTTTCAGCTTAAATGCATACGAGGTCTCCTATCAACTTCACGTGTTCAGACATTTGCCTTGAGTTTCTGTTGCTCACCCCACGCGCTCGATCAGTAGAAATATATATATATATATATATTATTCGACAAAAAGAAAATGTGCTATTGTTATTGTAAAGAGGGAAAATATTTTTAGATATTTACGACAAATTCAAGATTCACTAGAGAATAATACCTAAAATCTTTTTAGCTAAAATTATTTTGAAATAATTTATGCGTCAATTTTTTTTACCTTGGAAAATGAACTTCATCGAACGGGATCCAAGTGGATCACTTAAAACTACGAAAGCTAAAATGTTCAAACAGAACTCACATATATTCAGTAAGAACTATTTACTTTCACGTTTGGTGCACTTAAATTAGGTCTGTATCAAGATGAAAAGTGATCCGCAAAAAAAGGATAGATTTTGTTTAAGTAAACAATTTTTGAAATGTCTGGAGAAAATGAAGCATTAACTGCTCTGTTGCTAAGGCAAGCAATACCGATAAATAAAACACTAGCAGGGCTTTAAAAGCACACTTTACCAAAAGTACCTCCAATATGAGTGAACTTTAAAGGATGCTGTTTTGAGTAAAAATTATTGAAGGTCTTAATAACCGCTTGACATATGCAGCAAAATCGATCGCCAAAATCGATCCATAATTAACTAAAATGATAGCCAAATCAAGGAATTTGATTAATGAGTAAATTTATAGTGAAGTGAAGAAAATATGAATTTTAAATAGGGTTATTCTCAACTAATCATTTTATTTCTTATTGGATTTGAATGATGTTTTTAAAGATTTTGTTTAAATTTGCTCATTCTCTGCTAACAACGTGAGAACTCAACGTTTGTTTGCATGGAGATGTCATTTAAAAGTTTGAAAAGATGGTCTGACTTCCGGTTTGTTTGATTTTTAGACAACAATAAAAATTGCAAAGGCATTTCAGAAAATTGGCAGCAGGTTTTAATTTTCGCCTTTTAGCAAAATTAATTCGTGAAAAAAAGCTAGTTAGACTAATTGAGAATTAGTACTGGCCAAATGTATAACTTACAGGCGAGTTATTTTTCATTATTAATGTTCTATGCGAAATCATAATTAATCGATTTGAGCTAATACTCCATACTTGAACAAAAATCTTACTTTAAATCAGACATTTTTAATAATCTGCTTGTTTTTTTTAAATAGAAAAATTCTTGTTAAGTCGACTTACGCTTATTTCAATCTTCCTGTTAACAGATTATAAGTATCGCAAAGGAATATAGATAAAATCACGTAAACGGATCACTCGAGCATCGGGTCTGAAATTTGTACCCCTTAAGACAAGGTGCCAACTCTGCTATTTATCGAATTCCAATAAATCAAGTATTTAAAACACGAATTTTGCATTAATCTCAACCGAATACAATGATTAAATGCCATTACACGATTACAATTTGTGGGGACTGATTTATCGTCAAAATCACTATTTATAATTGTAGTGAACGCAAATAAGTTGGTGAATACTTGTCGGAAAGACTTTGAAACCCTTTCAAACCGAAATAAGAAACAAATTGATTGTGCTCCTTTCAAGGTGGTGAATTAAAAATAAGTAGCACAAAGGGCGTTATATATTTTGTGGAAGTTGTGAGAGAGAGAGCAAAAGTTGGAGGCATTTGGTTTTATGGTCCCGTGTTGGTGGGCAAAAACGCTCTTGCGCTCTCGCTGGATGCAATTAAATTTATGAGCGCAGTGTGGAAGTTTTGAACGATAAATAGCGTTCCCATTTTTCGCGCCTCACCGCTTCTTTAAAATGACCTAAGTTAAAAGTCCAAAAAAACTTGAAGTTCGCGCAAGAATTAATATTAATGAGATCAAATTGGCCACATAAGAAGCTGAGAATGTCGATTATAATCTTTGATAGGCCATCAAATTTTCGAAAATTATTATAATTTTAAAATTCATAATAAGAATTAAATTGAAGTACAATGATGATGCAGCATTAAAGTGATATTTAGAGCGGAAAAGCAATCGAATTCTTGGACAGCTACCATGACAAAAAATAACAAGATCTGCCAATAAAATGTAGTAATCAAAAAATGAAATATTTTTTAAATTCAAATAGAAATACCATTACTGCATATGCTCAAGACACTGGAACGAGAATAGAAAAGTAAATAATATAAGTGAATGAAAAAGGGTTAATCAACGCCAAAGCAACTTGATTATTGGAAAAAAGTGTTCCTGGTGATGTTGATCAACTGTTTGTGTCAGATAGTCTTGTCAACGAACTACGGGTAAATACATCACCAAATTCAACTATTTGAACTTTGGAATGTGAACTGTATTCCATTCTCAGCTGTCTTCAATTTTCTGATTCAAATTAATTCTCTTCTGTTCTAACCCGCATGTGTTAATTTACAAGTTTCTCACTATCCGAAGATACAAATTCCTTTGTCAACGTTACTAAATTTAACAAAAAAAGAAATTAACTTAAAATTTGCATTGCGCACTAATAAACCCCCTATCGAAAATTTTTGAAATTCTAAATCGGTATGAAATTTCAAAACCATATTTAGTACATTTTGGTTAGAGTGGGAAAGATTTTCCAACTAAATCTAATTCAATATTCTCTCTTAGTGGCCAAGAAAAAATAGATGGACCTTTTGATGAAATGGGCAAAATAGTCTTTAAATTGCTAAAGCATAATAATGCACGCGCTTTTGGTGTTTAAGAGAATAATCAAAACGGTGGCCTCGGTACAATTGAGAATTATTTGAAGAATATTATGTAAAATAAATAGGTGATTGAAAGGAAAGTTTTATGTAGACATTCCACCTGCAGGGCAGTGACCGCTCTCTTTGTTCCTTTTTGTGAATGCCAAAGTAGATCTCATGTCAAATTAAGGGGACGTTTGCATCGGCACTTATTTTGAGTTATGATAGCGGCATTATTGAGGCTCTATAATTAGTAACTCTAATGCGGGTAGTCCCTTAAATTAATCAAGCTCAACCAGTGCGGTTGGAAACCTTGCTCACAGATTTTGCTGAAGACTACGCCAATCACTGCGCCATCAAGCCATGCCACAAAAGCAAGGTCATCGATTTTTCAGTTCAACCTCAATAGTTCTGCAAATATATGAACGACTGCCTACATGTAGCCTCAATTATGATCAAGACTTCCCATTATTTGGACTATTCCGTGCTTATTTTACTTTAAAAATAGTAGTATTATAGTTTCTTATTTAATACATTTCCTTTATACAGTTGGCTTCAGTCTTAAGTACACTGGAAATACTTCTTTTTCAATAACGTATTTCAGGTTATCTGTCTCCGTTCTCTTGACCCAAAAATATGCAAATAAATTGAGCAAAATGGACTGTTTTAATGTGCCTAAAGCAGTTGAGTTTGGGCATTTTACGATCAAATAAACCTGGGAAATAGCATTTCCCAGTGATGCAATTAAATGGGTTTACTGGCACTAGCCCCCCCCCCCCCCCCAAGATATTTGAAGGCATTGATCCTGCAAAAATTTTCCCACTATTTCAAAAATCTCCAAGTTTAATAAAACGAAATCAAGTCTGAAATATATGTTAATTTAATAAGTTTTTCTTCAACCTGAGAGAATAATGCAATTATAGAAAATTTTTTTATATATTAATCTAAAGATTGCTTTAAAAGAATTTTTAATATAAAAAGTATTTGCTTCTTAGTAATCTAGTGAATCAATTTTGAAAGCTTTTGTTTCGTTGATCTTAATTAAACTACCAGCAAATATTTGAATGAAGTAATCGCATAACTTGAATTTCATTTGTTTTAAATGGAAATATTGGGAAACAGTTTAAGGTCATTGCTACTGACCTTGCAAATGCCGTGTAAAGAATAACGATGACTACGGCGAGAAGAAAGCAGACTCCAGCCGTGATAAATATAATATTTAGTACTTTGCTCAATCGCGGCATTTTAATATCATCCAACTGATGTGCATCCTCCCCGTCTTCCATAATCCGCTTGTCTTCAAGTGCTAGAATAAATCTATCCAGTAAACTACTTTTTCTTGGTCCTTTGAATCTCTTTTTCTTCGTGCTGGAATTTGGAGGGTTTTGATGCTGATTTGAACAGATGACGTCATCTTCAGTAGAAGCTGATACTGGATTTTGAGTAGAATTTCCCTGATGTGGATGGTAGTTATAGAGGGAGAGATCAAGAGCACCTCCGGGTCCTTGGATCGTCATGGAATTGGGAGAGAAGACATAATCGGACTGAAACTTATTCGCCCCAATCGTTGGAAGAATTGGTCTCACAAACCCAGAGAACTGTCCATCGTCCTTGGACATGGTGGGAGATTCTGAACTGAACGCTGTTGGATAGGAGTTTGGTAATGAGCAAGTAGGTTAGGAATCGAGGCGAAAAAGACTACTCGTGATGCCATTGGTTAGTTAACGACGCGCACTCAAACGCTTAGTGTAGAGGACAAATCTGAACGCGAACGCGTGTGCAGAAGAACTCTGATTCATACTTTTCTGCCCTGATATAGCATTTTAAGGTTACAGCAGGCTGCTCACCCTTTCCCTACCGGAAGTGGGTGTTTACCTCCTCCTAGACTGTCAATTTCCCATTTTTCATTCCTCCAGTCTCTCAACCAGCCAAACTCACTTGTTTCCTAACTAGTTTTAGAACACAGCAAGTACTAAGCCTAATCTTCCATGCCTAGATTTTATAAGTGTCAGGCTTAATATTCCATAAAATCTTCTCTGCATATTTTGTTTGAACAAAAATTCTTCCAAAGGGTAAATCATGAGAAAGCCTAGGAAGAAGAAACAGCTTTGACATTTTAAGGAATGATATATGTACATTTTTCAACCCAATTCGCAATTGTCCCACTTAAGCTTGTTCCATATTTTTAAAAGTTACATTTTCTGATTGCCTAAGTTATTATTTTCAATGAATTGCTCCTTACATCCAAGTCCAGCTAGTTCAACAATTATTAATTCACACTTTCTTCAATTCGCTTTCTATGCCAAAATGGGAATAAATGATAATTTTTTGAACTAGTCGCAATAGATCCAGGTGCAGACCCCTGATTCTCTGCTCTAGTGATAAAAATTCATCTGCATCTTTCCCGATTTCTCAAATCCCAATAGAATCGACTGATATGTATTTGCTATGAACCTTTGACCTTCTGATTCGGAAATATAATTGCCCATAGTGATATTTTTTGGAAAAATTTCAAAATGTTAGAGACTTTATCCTAGGCTATTGATGCTGCTTTAATTAGGGAAAAACTCAGTGACGTTTAATGTTGCAGAAACATCCAATCACCCAGCAAATGTGACTTCACTAAAGAAGGGAGTTTGCCCACTTCTAAGGAAGCAGTGTTTAGACACTAGAAGAGCGAGAGTTAAGGTATCAGTAGAACTCCACTTCATCTGAGCCCCGGAATCGTTGGGATAATTTCTTTTGAACTGGGGGGGGGGGTTGTGCGATAAACTTACCTCCAAGTGGTGTAGCCTGGGCAATGTATGCTCATACGGCAAAAGTCCATAAACCGGCAGTTGACTTCTGACTTCAAACTACCACCACTCCACTGTATGTCATATTCGACTACTTCCACAGTGATCATCTTACCTTTTCTCTGTTATTATGTCATTCGCCCCCTTTCACAGTACTCATCTTACCTTTTTTATAACTTTGTGTCATATCTGTCTGTCTCTTTTACGTCTGTGAATCATTATTCTGTCATCTGTCTGCCTCTTTTACATCCGTGAATCGCTCTTCTGTTTCCCTGTCTGCCTCTTTTACATCTGTGAAACGCTCTTCTGTTCTGTCTGCCTCTTTTACATCTGTGAATCGCTCTTCTGATCCCAACCCTTCCACAGTATTCAACTCACCTTTTTTCTACCTTTGTGTCTGCTCTGTCTCTTTTACGTCTGTGAATCATTATTCTGTCCCCCCTCCCCTTCTCTTTTACGTCTGTGAATCATTATTCTGTCCCCCATCTTGCTCTTTTACGTCTGTGAATCATTATTCTGTCCCCCTCTCGGCTCTTTTACATCTGTGAATCATTATTCTGTCCCCCTCTCGTCTTTCTGTCACTTTTATGTTTCTCCTCCTCTCAATGAAGCCTGGAGTTAGCAAAAGAGCTAATGATAACTATCAAAACGCCTGCCATTCGAGATAAATAAAGAAATAAACCTTTGAAGTGGGGGGGGGGGCACTTTACATGTAAAAATGTATTTGGGAAGTTATCAAAGNAGAAATAGGCCGTCAATTGCTACTTTCTAAACGTTTCGTTTGTCTCTTAGTAACTCTTTATATTGCGCCTGTGCTAAGTGGCTTATTGGTCAATTCGCACCCTCGTAAATTAAAGTTATCGCTGTATGTCAGTCTCAGTCATCGTTAACCTTGAACTGTGAGGTAGAGAAGCGTTAAATAATCTCTAAGTTCAGACTTTGTCAATGCTACCTGAGTCATCACGAGTATGACTTAATTGCTAACTAACCGGTGGGTTGAAGTGTGTCAATGGTTATGTCGTTCGAAGTGCAGAGCTCCAACACCCAGCGCCTGTTTTCTAAGATTACGGGATGTGCGATAGACTTACCTCCACGTGGCGCATCCTGGGCAACGTATACTCATATAGCAAACAAAGTCTATTAACCGGCAGTTGAATTCTCACTTCAAACTACCATCACCCCACTGCATGTCATATTCGACCACTCCCCAATACTCATCTTACCTTTTCTCTATCTCTGTGTCTGTCTCTTTTACATCTTTGAAACACTCTTTTGTCCCCCCTCCCTCTCGACTTTTTTCTCACTTTGATGTTTCTTCCCCCCTGTAAAGCCTGAAGTCAAATAAAGGGCTAATGATAATTATCAAAACGCCTGCCATTTGAAATAAATTAATTTTCTAAGATCACTGTGACCAACCACACCACAAAGACACGAGACAAACTAACTTAGAGCTTTCAGGTATCTGAATGCCTCCATATGATTGAAGCTGGTGAAAGTCTATTTTATGCCATAGGAAATAAATGAATAAAACCCTTGTATACATTTTGAGATTAGATTAACTACTATATATCTTAGAAGGTCTCTCATGACATATAAACTCATTCCTCTTCTTATCTCACGCCATTATCGTGTCATTTACTACTAATACCCGACCATGGCGGAAAATTCCATTTCATGAAACAATATATATATATATATATATATATATATATATTATATCAAATGTCAGGCGTTTTGGTAGTCATCATTAGCCCTCTAGTTGACTTCAGGCTTCACAGAGGGGAAGGAACATCAAACTGAAAAATAGTTGAGAAAGGGTGGGGGGAGAACAGAAGACTGTTCAAAGATGTAAAAGAGAGAGAGAGAGAGACAAACACAAAGGTAGAAAAAAGGTAAGGTGAGTACTTTGGAAGCGGTTGAATATGACATACAGTCGGGTCATGGTAGTTTGAAGTCAGAAGTCAACTGCCGGTTTATAGACTTGTTTTGCCGTATGAGCATACGTTGCCCAGGCTGCACCACGTGGAGGTAAGTCTATCGCACACCCCATATATATACATATATATATATATATATATATGTTCCAAATAGATAAAACTTGTAAGACTACATTTTAGTTTTATAACAGCTCACGTGTGCTTATTCGGGTGGGTAGATTTTCGGAAAACCCCAACCCCAATTAAAATGACTCAATGGGGGCTTTCAAATATAATATAAGAGTGATGGGAGAAACAATTGGAAATGATGTTGGGACTGTTAGGAACGACTTGCTCGACAGTATGATTGTTAAATTACATTACATTAACGAACTTTGATTTTGTTGGGATTGCATTACCAATAACTAACACTCATCTAAAAAAATCACAATTTTCATAAAGCTTTTTTTCAAAAGTTTATTTAAGAAGATAAACTTGTTGGGAAACGTATTCTCAAAAGGCAAAATAGTCCATTAACGGACAGTTGACTTCTGAATTCAAACTACCATGGCCCGACTCTATGTCATATTCAACCGCTTCCAAAGTACTCACCTTACCTTTTTCTCTACCTTTGTGTCTATTTCTTATAAATCTAAAAATCACTCTTCTGTTTCCCCACCCCTCCACTTTTTGCGACTTTGAAGTTCCTCCTCCTTGTAAAGCCCGAAATCTACTAAAGAGCTAATGATAACTATCACGAAGCCTATCATTTGATATAAACAAATATTGAAGAACGCATTATTTCGCAGCAAAAATTAATGTAAGCATTTATTTGTTTGAATGGCTTCAACATTTTGGAACAGGAGTTGATCGCGGAGCAAACATCAGCATTTTATACTCCATTGATTTTATATTTTTAATTCTTTATATGCTCTTGTTTATTATCGCAAACATCTGCTCCGTATTTATTAACTTAAGGACAATCGAAGAGCGGCCACATCAAACGTACCCTTTGCTCATCTCGATAATTATCATTGCACTTAGAAAATGATTAAAAAATCGGTGGAAATTTTTTACAGAATTCCTCTTTATAAAGTAGGTATGTATAGTTAAATGAGAACGAACTCATCACTTAAAATAGAACATCATCAGCACCGACGTTTATAGTTGTTCCTTGATAAAGAAGGTTCACTGTTCTTCTGTGTGAGGGCGAACCTTTGCATTACTGACTCGTTGAAACGGAAGTGGAGATAGGAAGGCATTTTGGAGGATCGATCACCGCAGTACCGAAGATGATTCTTCGACTGATTGAATACTCTGACCAATAGAGGAAAGCTCCAACTTTATGCAAAAAATGGGAGCCTTATTTACAGAAAGCTGGCGATAAAGGCATGTCAAAGACCAAAACAGTTGGCCAAATGATTTTGAAGCCAAGATCAATTGAAGGTAACCAGATTCCTCGAATATCAAGTCATCCGCCAGGATACTCACACAAGAAGCTGAACATACACTATCGTTATCAATTTCTACTCCTTACGTGATTAAAACTTGTAAAGTTTATTTGCCCGACCAAAGAAAATCAATATGTAATTTCCCTTCAAATTACTATAATAGATAATGTCTCATATTTAGCTCATAAATAACTAACGACTTACCTAATTTAACATCAAGCGAAATACTTGCATATTGAAAAGAACGTTAATATCAATTTACAAATTGCTTGCATTCTTTAATACTAAAGTTTATTTCAAGCTTCAAGATTTCAAAACGGTTAAATTTAGTAAATAGAGGGTGTATTTATCTATTATTGTTACATATTTTGTACTATTTATCGTAGGGTAAACGAATAAATGAAATTTTGAATTTCATTAGCAATGCAATTTCATGTACTTATTCCAACTTCAAGTC